GGAGGGAGGGAGGGAGGGAGGGGAGAGGAGTCAGAGGGGAGAGAGGGACTTCGCAAAACTGGACATCAAGACATGGCAATGTCGATCGCCCCACCCCCCAAGCACAGCTCCCAGGCGCCTTGCTAATCTCAACGGTCGCCCCGGCCTGCTGGAGAGGCTCACGGCGCTTTCAGCTCTGGAGGGGAGTTAGTTAAACTTGTAAGTTTCAAGCGATTCCAGGGAAGGTCGGATCCCAGTCATCCTTTATTCACTCGTCTGGTAACTATTCCACTACCTATTCCACTACCATGCGCAGCCGCCAAGTGTCAAGCGCGAAAACGCCACATGCCTGTCCGCGTCACAGTCTGCTCACCCACCCAGCCCTGCAAAACACTGCAATCTTTCTGTAGTCGCGAAGCATCCGCGACCGTGGATATAACTTGATGCCACAAAACACGAAGCTTCAACCCAGGATGCAACAACAAAACCACAACACCCAGTTCGCCAAGGCCTCGCGCAGTGCGCCTGCGAATGCTTCACGGGCCCCAGCAATGCGCTCGCGCCTGAGATTCTCTTCTTAGGCCCAAGCACCTGTATTTATTACTGTGGACTGCATTTGATGGCGACAGTTTAACCTCTACATATGGACTGGTCTCTTGGTCGCATATCCTAGGTTGACAAAGCCGAGGGGCTGCCAGCTTTGATTCCGAATGTCTGTAAGAGCTACACACTAAGTTCCAGGACTTTCAGATCGGACCTTTGCCTTCAAATCCCCTCAGTCTTGGCCTGCACAAGGAGTTGCAACTCGGAGCGTGCTTAGAGGCTTAGGACTTCAACTCCCTTGTGGAAGGCTGGAGCTGAAGGAATAATGTCTTCTCGGCTCATTCATGCTCATTCGGACAGATGGGGTCCAACAGCGGGAATTCAATCGCCTGAGCGCTTTGTGCATCGGCAACGCATCTCGCGAAGCGAAACCCACAGGTTGTGGCACGAGTATGATGGCACAATGTGACACTCGCAATAAGTTGACTGACAGCCGTCCAACCACTTTTCGGCAGCTGCACGGTTCGCTCCGCATGCTCGAGGCAGCGCACGGCTTTTGCGGCGTCTGTGGCTGCGCCGGGCCTGCTCCTGAACTTTTATGTCATGCAGTGAGCCCGGTCGGCTCAACTCAGAGCTTCACGACGTTTGAGATTCGGAAGTATATAGAACCATATTGGAACTCCTGAAACTCCGTCCGAGGTTGCTACAGGAATGACTAACCTACCAGCGATGCTGCAGCTTCACGGGCGATTTTGCGCTTGATCGGGCTCTGTCTTCGTGCAAGTATATGATGCTTACCCAAACGCAGCCCACTCCACTGTTTATTTCAGGGGTTGTCGAGGCTTGAGAACAAGAAAAGAACCACCCAGTCAAATAAGGAATTGATCCCACAACGTTGGGTGCCCTTCATTTCTTAGCTAGAAAGCAATTTTGCGTTTTGGAGCTGGCCGGCTAAAAAAAGCCCCTGCATTTCTTATCAAAAGCATATCTGGCACAGAAAGAGCGAAGTAGTAGTAGTAGTAGTAGTAGTAGTAGTAGTAGTAGTAGTAGTAGTACAGCAGCAGCAGCAGCAGCGGCAGGAGCAGTAGTAGTAGTAGTAGTAGTAGTAGTAGTAGTAGTATTGGTAGTAGTATAGGTAGTATAGGTAGTATAGTAGTAGTAGTAGTAGTAGTAGTAGTAGCAGCAGCAGCAGTAGTAGTAGTAGTAGTATTAGAAGTAGTACTAGTACTAGTACTAGTACTAGTACTAGTACTAGTACTATGTAGGAGTAGTAGCA